TTCGACTGACTGCGCTAGCCGATAGAACAGAGAACAGCTACAGCGCGCCCCCCCCCCCCCCCGCCCTCGCGGCGGACAGCGTCGGATAATTCATGTAGTCGGGGGGGGGGGGCGGGGAAACCCTGGGGGGCCCTGGAGCCATGGGGCGTTGATCCGATCGGCATAAGCCCGACACTTGCGCAAACGTCCAGCGGTGCCAGTGTGGGGGGGGGTGGGGGGGGGGGGCGCGCCGCGGGGCGGGGGATGAGACGGCGCGCATGCTGCAGCCCGCGCGGCCTCGCATGGAGCGCGCGCGTGGCATCGGGCCGACGGACCGTGGGAAGCAGCCGCGGGGGCGGCGTCCTGCAGGGCACAGAATGCAAATGAGGCCTAAGGATTAAGGGCGAGTCGGGTCGGGTCGTCGTCGCGTCGTCGTCGTCGTCACGGTCGTCGTCACGGTCGTCGAAATCTCTGATCATATCGCCTCGCCCCCATCTCCCCCCACCCCTCCTCCCCCCATTTACTCCAACGCGCGGCGCGTGGCGGGCCCTCACCACGCTAGCAGCCCGCAAAATCGCGGTTAGTTTTGGGGTGGTGGCCGACGCGCATGTGAAGAAGGTTGCGCCTGCCATAGTGATCACTGCGGATCCCTGAACAGGGCGCGCAGAGCTTCCTGGAACATACACGCTCAGAGAAGCCGCCGCATACGATGCAGATGTCAACGCTGCGATAACGGGCCATCACGCGGCTGCTGTGGTACCCGAGCGCGCCAGCCGCGAGGGGCAAGATCCGGCGGAAGTGCGGTGCGATCCACGGCGCAGTGGCTGGCCAGCCGAAGTCGTTGGCCTCAGACCCCTCGGGCACCTCCAAGGCTTGCCCCGCTGGTGCCGGTGGAGGCAGCCCAGGCTGCCCAGGCTGCACAGCGACGGGGGGAGGCTGCCCAGCGGCAGCGACAGGAAGTGCTGGGGGAGGGAGTGGGAGTGCGGCCCCTGCGCCACCCGGAGCTGCAGCGGCGCCCACAGGGCCTGCGGCCGCAGCGCCACCACCACCAGCAGCTGGCACATGAACCGCATTCTGGAACACGGCGGCGGCCCCCGGGGCGCGCTGGTCGTCGCCGCCGCCGCCCACCACGACTCCATTTCCATTGATGGTCACACCGCCCACCACGACTCCATCTCCATTGATGGTCACACGAAGCTGGAGCTGGATGTGAATCGTCGTCGACGGCCCAGATGCTGCCATCGCGGCCATCGCGGCGAGCGTCGACGCCGCGTCGACGCCTGAGTCCGAGGCGGGGGGGGGTCGCCTGCTCAGGCTGAGGAGGCGCGACGCCGACGGACGGCGACGACGACGACGGGTCACGGGCCATGGGCCACCGGCCACGGGGGAGACCGTCGGACCGTCGGGGGGCGCCGCACGATGACTCATCTGCGAGGGCCCTCCGTCGGGAGGCCCCTCGACCACTCGGCCCTCCCGACGGGAGTCGACAGCCAGGGCCCGAGAATCCAACGTATGTTAGAGCTCCAATGGAGCTCTAACATCGTATGTTAGATTATGTTAGAGCTCCAAGGGAGCTCTAACATAGTATGTTACAGCTCCGTGGGAGCTCTGAGGCGGCGGCGGCGGCGGCGGGTAGGTTAGAGCTACCAGGGAGCTCTAACATAGCACGTTAGAGCTCCCAGGGAGCTCTAACATGCTATATTAGAGCTCCCATGTTAGAGCTCCCTGGGAGCTCTAAATTACCGAGCTCCAGCGGAGCTTTAACATAGCACGTTTGGAGCTTAGTGGCAGCTCCCCGGGAGCTCTAACATGGTATGTTAGAGCTCCGTGGGAGCTCTAACATGGCTTGTTAGAGCTCCAACGGAGCTCTAACATAGCATGTTCGAGTATGTTAGAGCTCCCTGGGAGCTCTAACATGGTATGTTAGAGCTCCGTGGGAGCTCTAACATGGTATGTTAGAGCTCCGTGGGAGCTCATACATGGCTTGTTAGAGCTCCAACGGAGCTCTAACATTGCATGTTCGAGTATGTTAGAGCTCCCTGGGAGCTCTAACATGCTATGTTAGAACTCCCATGTTAGAGCTCCCTGAGAGCTCTAACATACCGAGCTCCAACGGAGCTTTAACATATCATGTTAGAGCTCCGTGGGAGCTCCCTGGGAGCTCTAACATGGTATGTTAGAGCTCCGTGGGAGCTCTAACATGCTCTAACATGCTATGTAGAGCTCCCAGGGAGTTCTGACATAGCATGTTAGAGCTCCAACAGAGCTCTAACATAGCATGTTCGAGTATGTTAGAGCTCCCTGTGAGCTATAACATCGTATGTTAGATTATGTTACAGCTCCCTGGGAGCTCTAACATCGCATGTTCGAGCTCCGTGGGAGCTCTGAGGCGGCGGCGGCGGCGGCGGCGGGTAGGTTAGAGCTACCAGGGAGCTCTAACATAGCATGTTAGAGCTCCCGGAGCTCTAACATCTGAGATAGAGCTCCGTGGGAGCTCTAACATGGCTTGTTAGAGCTCCGTGGGAGCTCTAACATGGCACGTTAGAGCTCCCAGGGAGTTCTGACATGGTATGTTAGCCTTGAGCTCTAACATAGGATGTTAGAGATCCCTTGGAGCTCTATCATGGCATGTTGGATTTTGTTAGAGCTCCCTGGGAGCTCTAACATCGCATGTTAGAGTCACTGTTAGAGCTCCGTGGGAGCTCTGAGTTGGCGGCGGCGGCGGGTAGGTTAGAGCTACCAGGGAGCTCTAACATAGCATGTTAGAGCTCCCAGGGAGCTCTAACATGCTGTGTTAGAGCTCCCATGTTAGAGCTCCCTGGGAGCTCTAACATACCGAGCTCCAACGGAGCTGTAACATCATGTTAGAGCTCCGTGGGAGCTCCCTGGGAGCTCTAGCATGGTAGGTTAGAGCTCCGTGGGAGCTCTAAAATACTCTAACATGTTATGTTAGAGCTCCCAGGGAGCTCTAACATGACATGTTAGAGCTCCAGCGGAGCTCTAACATAGCATGTTCGAGTATGTTAGGGCTCCCTGGGAGCTCTAACATGGTAAATTTGGAAGAAGTCTCAGGCGGGAGCCGTTGTTGTTGTAATCAGGGGGGGCAGGCGCACAGTTTGAGCACCAAGACTTTCCCTGTCAAAAAAGGGTGCGAGCGTCGAGGGGCACACGTTGTTGAGAAAAATCAGTATGCACTGGTGAGGGGGATCAACAATACTTATTTTTCAGGAATGAGAATTCAAAAACAACAACAACAACAACAACAACAACAACAACAACAACAACACCAACACCAACACCAACACCAACAACACCACCACCACCACCACCAACAACAACAATAACAACATTAAGAATCCGCATCGCGGAATCCCACTTCAACCACGCACCCAGGGACAGTGAATGACCATTCGGCCCCCGTATTCTGATATTTTGTGTGCAGCCTCCCCTGTTTCAGGTGTCGCTGTGCGACTACAACATAGTGTTGTTCGATGTCCCTCCCCTCTTTCCTCGGCGAGGACCATCATAGGCCTCAGCTACCCCAGCTGGGACTATCATAGACCCCGCCCCATCGGCACTTGCCATCGTAAGGGGTTCCAGAAGGCCTCGGTAACGCTCTCATTCTTTACATTGTGGCGTCAATAGCCACTGGAATGGGGCCAAGGACTCCTACATGGACCCTCGGCCAACGAAGGCGCCCATAAAGGACGGCCCAAACCTACCTTCGCCTTACTTACACCAGCAACCTAATACACAAACCAACCAATTCCTCAAATTCCTTCCCTCCGCACCTCTCCCCCTCCCCGTGCCCATTCCTCTTCCCCACCCTCTCTTCCTCCTCCTCCTCCTCCTACCCGCGCCTCCCCCTTCCTCGTGCCTCTCTGACCCTCCTCCCTCCCCCGTTCCCACGTCGTTTCTACCCCTCTCCGTTTCTCTGGACAACGAAACCAACAGGGAAACCAATCTCCGCCTGTGCTCCATCCAGCATCCTCCCTCTCCTCTGTCTTCCATCCCTCCTCTCCATCTTGCCTCTCCCCCCCCCCCCTTCCCAACCCTCCCCACTCCTTCCTCCTGCCTCCCTCCGCCCCCCGTCTTTCCCGTATCATTTACGCAATCGCGTCGCGCTTGGCGCCCGCCGCGTCGACAACGCAAGCACTTCAACTCGGCTCAAGGCACTCCCAGTTCGGTACACTCATCGCGAACTTCGTACCAAACCAATCGATGCTTTCAGATGGCTCCCACGACGGTTCCGGGCAACCACATCTCATCGCACGCGTCACGCATGTGGGTGCTGGGGGAGGAAGAAGGGTGCAGGAGGGAGGAACGAAGAGGGGGGGAGGGACATGGCGGAGGGAAAAGCGGGTCTCCCTTTCGTTCCTCCAGGGGGAGCTCCTGCGCGATACCTCTGCCATTGACTTCCACACAATGCCCCCGCTTGAAACTCTCTCACAATCTGCTCACGGGCGGGGTTCCTGGGCGAGACTTCCTCAAGATTCAAATGGCCCGGTGGCAACATTATGATGTTCAAAGCGTTTGGGATGGCCTCGTCGGATAATAAAGCTTGAGGTGGAGAACCGATGGGGGGGGCACACTAAGTCTTAGCACATTCCTTACAAGTGAAATTCCCGCTCGAGACGTCCTCATATTTGCTCATGAATCAAGCGCCCGTTCAGAACTTGCTCAAGACCCTGATGGCCAAGTGACAGTTTTATAATGTTCGACATTTCCCGAACTCAGCCTCCCCCCTCTCACCCCGCCTATCCCTTCACATCCTTCTCGTCTCTTCTCCCCCTTGCCCATGGCCTGTAGTTCGCCCCTGTTGCCAACGTTGACAGTGCGACTCACTTTGGCGATGTTTCTGCTTCTGTTTCGGAACCCCGCCCATGCTTGCCCCATCGACGTCTCGCGCGCGCATCGTCGCGCTGTCCCTGCCCCCATCATCCTGCCTCGTTCCTTCTCCTGATGCCGCCCTCCCTCACCAATTCCTCCCCCTTCTCCCCCCAGCGTCGACAAGGCAACACCGGGCAAACAAAACCGCGCCACGCGCGCGCTGACACGCCACATGACCAACGTACCTGTCACACAAGGCCTGCGTGGTAACGTGAGCAAATACGCGAAATAGTTCCATTTTCCCAGACGATATTTCGCGCAGGAAATTCAGTCAAGGCCACGGGGCGTTCCTGTTGGAACTGCTATACTCGCAACCGGGCCAACATTGCACCAACATGTGAAAACTAGGCCATGTATTTCATTCCGGCGCAGCACTGCCTGGATTGAGGACCGATCACTGTCTTAGGCCCGTGACATGCCAAAAGGTCGGAAGAATTCATTGGCGCCCTGAGTTCCTAACCACTGAGATACCTGGCAAGCAACGGCAAGCGGTGGCTGCTGGCCTCCACCGCTTCCTCTTGCACAACTCGTTGTCGAATTCCCCCTCCTCCTCCTCTCCCTCCTCCTCGTCTGGTCTATGACCTGCGCAGGACAGCCCATGACCTGATATGTGTGTTGCTAAAGCGTTGGTCACATTCGCATCGCTGGTTTCGCCCTCGGGGCCAAGGGGCTCCTCCCAATCGATCGATCAACTTCGATGCCGCACCTTGGCACTGCTGGCTTGACTACCCCGTGCCCCCAAAACCCAGCCGTCAAAATCCAAGGTCTGTGCAGCAGCGGGAGCAGCGGTGGCGAGGAAGGCAGCAGAGGTAGTATTTGCCATCCCGACTCTTCGCTCTCTCCCTCTGTCGCTCTCTGTCGTTACCCTTGCCTCGTTGTGCGCATCCCAATCTAGAACTCTAATCCTAGCTTCTGACTGAAGGCATACGCAACGAGGTCATGGTGTGGTAGCGCCCATCTCACAAGCTCCTCGTTGATAAAGAATCGCTGTCGCGCTTCCCTGCACCTCATTCATACCCGCGAGCCTGAAAACCAGCCGCACGGCGATAGACGTGCGTGGTTGTAGTGGCAGCAGGCATTCCATACCTGACACTTCGCCGTTTCTGTCATACACGAGTGTAGTCGACGCGTGTGCTCGCAGCGAGGACTGCTCAGCTAGGTCGCAAGCTTAGCAGAACGATCCTCGACAAATCGACCCTCCACCCTCCACTCAGCACCAACAAACAAACGCCCTTAACCGATATGGATGAATCCGCCGCCGTGCCGCGAGGAACATGATGGAGTGTCATCAGGTCCCTTTGAGACATCTGTCGGGACTCAAACCCCGTCACGCTTCAAGAAGGCATCATGGGGACCATCCTGAAGCTCTGTTGGAGGCCTCTGTGGCCGTTTGGTGAATCCCTGGGGCGGCGGCCCCAGAGGCCAATATCGTCAAAACTTCGCACGTAACTTCATGGTGTTTGCATACTCGCAGCTTCGGGATTGCGAACGTCCGGGGCGGCCCGAGAGGCCACCCGAGATAACTCAAGAGGGCCCAAGAGTCTAAGAGGGCCCCCACAGGGGCCCAAGAGGCATCCAAGAGTGGTCCAAGAAAGGGGGAGGGGGGCTGGAACCGCCATGCGGAGCCCCCCCAAACAAGTACCCAACACGACCCCAAGCTACCCCCTGAGTTTCCCAAAAAGCCCCGAGGAGGCTCCTACAATGCGCCCAACAGGCTCCCAACAGGATGCCACAAGTCTCACAAGAGCACCCTCACAACTGACTGCCTGACTGACAAGCCATACACCAGGCGGTGCGTGGGCGTGAGCACAGGCGGAAAATACAGCGAACTCTTGTTCGGACCACAGGGCGGGCCGACAAAGAAGCGCGAGCAAGGCAAGGAACCGGGGCCGGCGGGAAAGCGAGGAGCCGCGGAGCGAGAGGGGGGGAGGGGGAAGGGAGGACGACAGCAAGAGACAGACCGAGCCGACGGACGGAGAGACGAGGAGACGGGGAGGGGAAGCCAGGGAGACGGAGGGAGAAGACACACAAAACACAAGGGCAAGGAGACACAAGGGCAAGGGGAAGGAAGTCGAAAACAGGCTGGTAAGCTTAGGTATACAGTCCGCCTTAGGCGCTTCCATATCCCAGGCTTAGGCTCATAGCGCATGAGCAAGAGAGCGAGACGAAGCATGGGATCTGGAGTAAAGAGTAGGATGGGCATCGTCAATGGAAAAGGATGTTTTCCGATCTCAGATGCAAGTAGTGCGCCTCAGTGAGGCACAGTCACATATCAGGCCGGGCCCGGCTTGAGCCAGGCACGGCAGCGGTACATGCTCGATTTATACCTCGCCTTTAACCTTCTCCGTTTAAAGTCGGAGGGGGAGGAGACGAGCAGGTACCGCACTTCTATTATGCGGAAAAACAGTGCTAAGCAGCAGCGGCTGCCTACAAGGAAAGGGCGCGCGAGTAGCCTCGCTACCGGCGAGTTTCCTCGCTGCTAAAGCGCACCTGCCCGCGGGTTTCCCCGCTGGCTCGGGAGGCAGGGCCGTCCTGAGACGACCTGCCCGCCCTATACGGCGTATGTTTCTTCAGCTCGTGCTTGAAGGATTGCTGGCCGGCCATTACTTGTAGGAGCAACGCGCGGTCAATGCTACCTTTGGTATGACCATCGGCAGTCATATCCCGCGTGTCACACCATTGGACGCTTTCCACGATTCCACGTTCCATCATCTGGCGAATCCAGCTGATGTGCCCAAGCAGAGTACACTCTGTGGGCTTCTTCAGATCCTTGCTAGACAAAGATTTGAAGACAGACTCGGCATCAATAGTCAGAGTGACTTTGATACATAGACCACCCATTTCCAATATGTTCTTCAACTGTGTGGGGGTCAATGGTCCCGAGTGTAGCTCGTGGAGCGTTACAATGGTCGGGTAGCAGTCTTCCAAGTTGTGGGCTGCTGCCAGTGTTTCCGCAGAGTAGCTCGAACGCACTTGCAGTCGATGAGACTTGCAGTATGCGTCACCAGGTGCACGACGGGTTTCCCCGCTTGCGTGTGGCCACGCCTCAGCAGGTTAGCCCCGCGGATACCGTAGCCTTTGACTTCGTCGTCTTCATCTCCGTTGAGACGACGATAGCCAGAATCGCTATGCAGGTCGACTTCTCCTGTTGGAGTCATAGCATGATACACGATCTTCTTCGGACCTGCCTGCAATTTTCTGGTAACCGCGTTTAGTCGTCGTACCTGGATGTTTGTCGGTTCTTGGATACGTTGTAGTGAGACAACATAGACCATTAGCCATACCTGCGTGATCAACGCATAGGCTAGAGCGCCACGAAGACTGACGAACATATCAGAAATTGTCTTCGTCGCCTTGCTTTCAGGATCAGCTCCTGTGAGTTCTGGATGTGTGATAGGACGAAGCTGTTTGATGTATTCGTCCTGGTCGAGAGTGACGCTCCCATCATCGGTCTTGTTGTACCGAACAGCACAGTTCGTGTATGTGTGCTTGTTCAGTTTGCACTTCCCAAACGTATCTTCAACACACTTGACATACTTGTCGATAGCCTCTTCCTTCCCAGTCATATTGATGTCATCAACGTGCTTGGCTGTCAAGAGGTTTGGGCTCATCTCGAACTCTTCGTCGTATGAAGTAGGCTGTAGCCCAAAGCTCCTAGTGATGGACCTGAGCTTCAGCGAGAATGCCCTGGGAGCATCCTTCGTGCCCGTCCCCGGTTTCAGACACCGGAGACAATGCTTTGATTCGTCATATGACTCAAAGCCTGGCAGTGTGCGAAGGACAGCTGCTGACCCAGGTGGTAGTGTGAAACACACCACACGTTCTTTCTCGCCCGTTGCCGCGGCGAGCTCGCCATAGGTCAGTCCCTTCAAGAAAGCCATGTTGATGTCCAGGGAAGCGATAATCCAAGCTTTGTTGCATGCAGCAGAACTTGCGAGCAGTCTCTGGCTTGACCTCCTTGCCGTGCCAGAGAAGGTTTCGACATCAAAGGCTTCGAGGTCCATGAAGCCACGGAGTACCAAGCGTAACCGGATCGTCCTTTCCATTTCGCCCTTTTCGTTCTTGACAAACTTCCATTTGTATACGTAGCGTGACGTCATGATGTTAGACGCCTTGCTTAAGTCAGTCATCTGGAAGCATTTGTTGTCAAGCCAAGTCTTCAGTTCTGTGTAGAGGGCTTTGGAAACTTTGACCGGATTTGCTTGGATGTCGGCCTTCGTGAGTAGATCGTCTTCCTTGACGACCACGGCACGTTTGGAGGCAGCGCTAACGTATACTCGCATAGTTGTGACGCTGCTGTCATCCAACAGTCGGTGTTGCTGCTCGGACAGGACGACTTTGGACATGTCTGCAGTGAAGCAGAGCTCGATATACTTCCCGTGCTCATCGGAGTCCAGATCATATTTGCTATCCGGTTCCGTGGAGCATAAAGGAACGTAGTAAGAAGTGTCCATGTCGTATCCTGGCGGGTGACCCCGCTCCGGCAAGTGGCCTTGCACATCTTCACAGGTCGTAGAGACTAACACACACTGTGTGTCTGTCATGTATGTAGGAACTGTATGCATGACTTCCTCTGTGTCAGCTTCAAGGAGTGTTCTGTCATCCATCAGTTCAGCATACCACGACTTCAAGACAAAAGCATCCAGATCTTCTTCTGTCTCCTCTATGATAGTCGGGAGTCGACCATCGTTGTCCGTAGGAGGCTCCTCAGGAGCAGCTGCTGGAGGTGATTCGCTCGGTGGTGGACCGTCAGCGAGTTCCTCAAACTTAGTGAGGTCTTGGTCAAACCCAGCAGAAGGCTTCCTGGATTTAAGACACTGGATGATGCGTGAGTGTGTAGATCCTGTGATGTCATAGATGTTCAAGGCAGTGCCATCAGCTTCATAGTAATGAAACCCAGGGGTCACATCGTTATCATAGTGCACTAGTGTACAGCTGTCTGCATAGGGTGCGGCAGGCAGCTTCGTCAGGCTCTTGGCGAGTCGTACAGCAACAACGTTTTCAATACGAAAGTAGTTGCGTATGAGGTACTGAAGAGCCAAGTGCACCTTAGGTGAAAGTCGGCTCGCAGCAGTCATCTGCAGCCGACCCTGTTTCGTTGGTAGATATCCGAAAGTCATGGCGGGTTTCCCCGCTGGCAGACCGGCAATAAAGGCCAATACTGTTCGAAGGGCCGTATTGTCCGATCCTATCTCGCGGACCATAAGTGCTTCGATGTACAGTGTGTGTCGTGTGTCAGGATACTGTACTCGTACTTCGCGATTGCCGACCTTCACGATGACCTGGCCTCGGTCAGGTTCGTTGCGGATGACCGGGTATGGACCACTCCATCCACCCCAGTCGTCTTTCGTGGTGGTCGGGCGATGATAGTCCACGAGATCTCCCTCTTTATAGTGAAATTCACCCGTAGCAGTAGTCTTTGTACGGAGAGCCCTGTTCGTCTTGGCAACCGCAGTGGCCTGCGTGATTGCCTCCAGACTAACCCTCCTGATTGTTTCTTCCCTTGAGTGATCTGATGATTCAGTGGGCTGATCATGATCCAAGACAGGGAAATCAGGAAGCATAGCTGGCTGTCTACCATACAGCGCATTGTACGGAGACACTTCATTATAGAAGGTAAATGCGTTGCTGGCAAACAAGGCTTCATGTAAGAGACGAGTGAAATTGAGAGGGATATTTAATCTATTCAATTCTTCTCCCATCACGTGTAGGAGGTGTCGCAGGATGCCGTTCCTAGCTTCGATAGTTGTAGCGTGTTGGCCACGCGCTCGAATACGAAGCTCTGTTCCCTTAGCCTTAAGGATGGCCTTTGCTGTATCATTATTCAGTGCTCCTTCCCCATCGGAGTATAAGATTTTAGCAGGGCCATGCTGCATCCAAGTCGTATGATAGGCATCGAGAACAGTATGCATAGCTTTATCAGGAATCTCTGTGCCAGCTGCCCAGCGAATACAACGGTCGATGATGTGAAAAACAATATGTTCCTGTTTATAAAAGAAGAGATCACATTCGACTTCCTCGTTGAAACGTCCTGGCAGTGACACAGAAGGCATCACCGTGTTGCCTGGTTTGTCCCAGGCTCGACA